CCTGAAGGGATCATCCGTCCTGGATTCCCTGTGTTTCCAGTTCCTATCTGTACCAGTGTACATCCTCTAGCCAGATTTGTATGGTAGAATTGGGATCATGATAGTGGGTGGAGGGAAGCATTTAAGAAAGTTGTATGTTTCATCGTTGCTACACTGCACCTGACTGGCTCGTCCCTCCCTGCGACCCTTCCGTAAGGGGATGGATATCCAGTTGCCTACAGATGGGCTTTGGGTCCCCAACCCACACTCCCCCTAACTCACAATGATATGATTTTTTTGGTTTTTGATGCCTGATACCTCACCCCTTCCACACCTCGTGATCACATAGGCTGGTGTGCTTCTTCCAAGTGGGCTTGGAATTAATGTTATTTAACAAAGATTCATATAGTGTTTACTACTTGCCCAGCAATATTCTAAGTGCTTTATAAATATTAACCCATTATATAATATTTCTAGTATACTCAGTCCCTAAGTTCTTGTGATGCTTATGGGTTATGTTAATTGACATTTACCAATTAATAAAAGTGAACAATCACTGTTCGAAAGTGAAAGTATTCATTTCCAACTATTAGGACTATCCCACGTGAACATGAATCTAGTCAGGTAACTTTCCTTAATGAAGTCCTATGGAGGTTTCCCACTACTGGAAAACAAAATTCATCACCAAGTCATGAAGTTATGTAGCTTCTATACCCCCCAGCGTGCCTGTTTCATCTCATCTGCCCATAAAATCCTAACTATTTAGGAGTTACAAAACATGTGTCCTGAATCCTAACCCTACACTTTCTGTTTTATAAGCCCTTCTTCCCATCTTTAACCGGAGAAATTCTTCTTACCATCAGTATACTACTCAGAAAAATCACTGCTCCCTGAAAGCCCTCCTTGATCACCCACATGATTAAGTAGAGTCTGCTCTGCTCACACCGCTCTCTGCATTTGCCTGCAGCATAAGGTATTGAATGACAGCATGTCATTGCTCCGTGACTCATCTATCTCCCCACGTACCTGTGAACTCCTTAAGGCTACACCAGAAAACCATTCTGATTTTATTTCTGAAGTAGAAAAGAAGTTGCTAAAAACATGCATCGTTATCTGCTGTTGTTCGGTGCTGTCAAGTTGGTTCCCCCTCATAGTATGACTATCTAAATGCCATAAATTATATCTGTTGAACGAAGTAAAAGATACCATGTACAACTTGTACTCAAAAAACCAAACTCACTGCTCTTGAGTTGATTCTGACTCAGAGCAGCCACTTAGGCTTTTGGACCTCAATGGACAGCTTTCAGGGAAACTACAAACCAAAATCAAACATACGGCCATTGAGTGGATTCCGATCAGCAATCTTAAAGGACAGGGTAGAACTGCACTGTGGGCTTCTGATTCCATAACTCTTTATGGGAGTAGAAAGCCCAGTCTTTCTCCCACAGAGACGTTGGTGGTTTCCCACTGCTGATCTTGCAGTTAACAGCCCAACGTGTAACCACTGCACCACCAGGGCATTTTCAGGGAAACTCTCAAAAAACTCTCAAGCTCACTGCCAACAATTGCAATGCTGACTTATTGACCCTACAGGACAGGATAGAACTACTGCCCCTATAGTTTCCGATATTGTAACTCTTTACAAAAGTAGAAAGCCCCATCTTTCTCCCAAGGAATAGCAGGTGGTTTCCAACTGCTGGCCTTGCTGTTAGCAGCCAGTTTTGGAAACTCACAGGGGCAGTTCTACTCAGTCCAATGACATCACTATGACTAAAAATCCACTCGATAATAGTGAGTTTTGTTTTGTTTTGTCTTAGGGAAATTAGAAATACCAAACTGCGAGAACTCCTTAGCTTAACAATACGAAGAGTTGACCTACTGCAAAATTCAGTCTTCGTTATCAGTGATTTCCATTGGTAGTCTAAGGAGCATAGTAAATGCAAGGGCTTCCAAGTAATCTAAGAAGCCCTCGTGGTACTGGCCACAAGGTCAGGGGTTCAAACCCACCAGCTACTCCACAGGACAAAGATTTTTGCCACAGAAACTCTTTATAGGATCATCATCATAGGTAGAATCAACTCAATAGCAGTGTACCCTAGCGTCCTCCCGCTCAGGTGATCTAGACAGGTAATTAATACATACCATGTGTACTTGCCTATAAGCCAGGCACTGGTATAATTTCTTACATCAATGGGTAATAAAAATTACACCTATGGCAAGGCAGTACCTTTACTTTCATTTCTGATTTGAATAACATACTGTCTAATGTAAACCCTATTAATTCATTCGTACCTCACCCAAAGCCAATCATTCTTTCCATAAGGTTTATTGCTTTACGTAGAAAAGAAGCCAGGTATCGTCTGCCCGATTAGAAAGGTCTCTGTGCCAAAACACTGGAGAAATGTGCGCCAAATGTGGAATAAATGAAGGAGCACTGGGCTGTGAGTGATCTTTCAAAAGACAGAGAAGGACCCAAGGTGCCTGAAGACAACATTACCTACATGGGACCGAGACTTGAGTCTCCAGGTTCACTCCTGTGCTCTTCTTTCTCTGCATCTCTCCGCCCCTCTGTGCCCCTTCCTCTCCCGGTAAGCGTGTGTTTTAAACCACTATGTCAGCAAAGTTCAGACTGTGGGAGATGCTATAGGACACAAGACCCCATGTCTTCAAGGAATAATTTGCAAGGATAAAAACATAGGCATGGAAGGGCAAAAGCTGTTATGTTAAAAACTAGCCAAAAAACAGAATAAAACACATACACAAAAATCAACTAGCTGTGATCTCTAGACATTAATTAGATCCTGATTCAAACAAAAATAAACACAGACACACATATTTATGAAACAAGTGTAAATGTGAAAAGTCTGGATATCTAATTATTTTTTAAACATAAAAACATTATAGTTACTTTTTACGACTCATCTTTTAGAATTATATTCTGATTTTTTTCTTAATGAAATGGTGTATCTGGAGTTTGCTTCCTGGTAATACAGGAAAGAGAAGAATATAGTTAAAGTTCAGAGGAAACAAAATTAGCTGTGAGTTGCTGACTGTGGAACCTGTGGGCTCAACACTAGTCTGTCTACTTGTATATGTGTTTGAAATTTTTATGGGTATAAGTACACGTGAGAATATTCCTCTACAGAAATAATCCTAATTTACCGAAATGTAAGAGAGACACTGTTTCCTGCCTCTTCAGTTTTACCACAAAACAAGGCTAAATTGATAGTGAAAAGAAGTATTTAATCAAACAATAATTTGAATGATAAAATTGTATATTAAAAGTTAGATTAGATTTTCTATGTAAATCTAGATTAGCTTTAAAATTTATATTAAATTCTAGATGAGATTTTCTACAATAATGTAACTTTGAAAGATATTTCTGTAGCCCGTTAGGCCAAATTCCTACCTTATAATAAATTTTAATAACAATGAGTACAAGAAGTATTCTAAAATTGATTATGATGATTGTACAACTCTTTTCAATATGACTGAATCCTGAATTGTGTGATATGTGAATTATATGCCAATAAAACTATTAAAATAATATAAAAGTACAGAAAAAAATTTAATAAAATTAAGTATTTGACTTTAATTACAGATTTAAACATTAAGCTTCTACTTATACATATTTACGTATACAGATAACTTACTATTAATTATTACATCAACATTATACACCCTAGAGTATTAATGAGTGCTTATGCATGTGAAAACGGTCCACTTGCTATTCTTTTACTGAAATCAACACAAAATTTCAACTACATGAACAAGCCCTTTCTAATTATCTGCTATAGTTAGGGAGGGGGATACCAGGTTGATGTATATAAGTACACCAAAGATTCACATCACCTCAAAAATTTACTTAAGTTACCCAGTAAGTTCAAAATCATTTCCAGGCATATCTGCATATGTAATATTGATCTATATTTGGGTACAGTGGTAAATTTATTTTTTTTCTAAATTTACACAATTTCTAAATACCCAATCAGCATCACAGCCCTAATTATATCAAGGGTACCGCTGCAAAAGATGAAAAGAGGTTTTCTGGGCAGAGAGGTGAGTGGGCACAACTCTTCTGTCCACAAATCAGACCGCGCTAACAATCTTACCGCTTAGCTTATTTTTAGGGTCTGAGTTGCAGTAAGGGTGTGTAGCCTTGCTTTTGTCAGACTTTCTACAGCCTTCCAACCTAGAGTTACACCGCTGGCAAAGGCTTCTCTTTGAAGAGCAAAACAACAATCATGATGCAAACCCTGCCCAAATACCTTCTCTCTTTTCCTGTGGGCACAGCTTTTGCTTGACAGCCGGGGGCCTCTTCGCTCTGGGCTGTTGGTGGGGGCACGTCGAACAAAGTCAACCAACCTCAAGCACAGCCCCCCCGCCCTGAGGTTCTTTGAGTTCCTTCTCGTCCCCCTTCTTTCTTTTTTTTTCTTCTTTTTTTAACTGGGAGCGCCAGCGAAGACTCGCATTAGGATTGTGCTCATTTTACCAAAGACATCCCGTCTCCGCGGCAACCGAAAACCGCGCCGCACCGCGCACCCCCACCCAGCCCCGCTGCGCCTCTCACCTGCCCGCCGCCAGGGTCGCCCCGCACCCGCGTCTCTAGCGCGCCGCGCCGAGTTTCGTCCTCGCCGCCGCCGGAGCGATAGACGAGCCGGAGTGGCACGATGCTCTGGCGCTGCAGGAAGCCGTGCTCGGTCCTCCTCTCCAGCTCCGTCAACGAGGCGTCTCCTCCAGGCAGAGAGGGAGCGGATAAGAGCGGAGCAAACACGAAAATCCCACCCTGAGCCACGCGCGTCCACCCTGCGGGGCTACGTGTCCTCCGCGGAGCTGCCCGCGCCCCTCCCGGACCTCGCCTGGGAAAGACGCAGCGAGCCACCGGGCGGAGCGCCCTGGACCAGCCGGTCTCCGAGCATCCCCGACCGGCCGGGGCCCGAGGCAGGGCGCCCCTGGCCCACCTTCCCCGTTCTTCTGCAAAAGAAGCCAAAGGCATCGGCCTGAAAGCTTCGGATGCTCCGTGCGCCCCCGGCCTCCACCAAAAACATACATATTTTTGCTCCACCTCCCGCCGCCCTTCCAAATAAAAATCGCCCTGCTCACTCCGTAAATAGGGGGGCGTCCCTTTCTCTGCGCCCCGGGGCTGCACATCTTCCCGGGAAACGAGCCGTCCCGTGGGCACTGAGGGAGGCGAACTTACCTGCCTGGCCGCAGCGCACCGGAGACCAGGTCCCCAAGGCGCAGAGCAGCAAGAAGGGCACCGCGGCAGCCGCCGCCGCCTGCATGGTGCTGCCCGCCCGCCTCGCCGCCGACGCTCGGCTCCTCCTGGGCAGTGGGGGCTGGCGCCCTCGCCCG